TGTTGCACCACAACGTGCGATAAGATTTTTGATTAGGATGTTGGTATTGAGACTTGGTTTATTAGCAAGGAAAGAGTTGTTTTGGTCTTTTACTTTGTCATGGCGTTGAGGATCAGACAAAAAGTGGTACCATTATATTGTTCCTTTTTGTCTGATCTCGGTGTCCAAGGTGTTAGAAAATGTCATTAAGACAATAAAGACAACGAAGTCAACTCTTTCATGTTCCTTTTGATATCAAATATGAAGAGAGGTTATTGTACACAGGACTTCCATACCACATCCCGGTCCGTGAAACGGGGATTCTGCACAGCCGAAGCGAAGACAATGCATAAGAAAACAAAGAAACCACATAACGCCCGCGCCAGCCCAGCTCATGTTACATCAGCAAATTTTGTAGCGGTATCACATCCCTTGACAAAATGACACAGAGTTGCCAATTTAGTGAGTGATTTTTCGTATCAGAGCCTAGCCCGCACCCCGAGGCTTTGACTTGGCGTCCTTTTTGGCCTTGGCATCGTCCTTCTTGCGCTTCTTCTGCTCCTGAAGCTTCTCATCGTGCTTGCGCTTGAGGTTGGCCTTCTCATCATCGGTGCGGGCGACAGGCTTGAAGAATCCCTCTAGCCGGGACTGTTGAGCGGTCTTGAGATGCTTTGACAGACGTGCTGCGCCATTGCGTACACGATCCTCGTTGAAGCCCTTGTCTGTTACCAGGAATTCGATTAGACCGTCAATGTTAGGTGCTTCCCACTTGAAATCACAGTCTGGGTGATCGGCTGCCCGGACGTCTGGGCTGACAAATAGGTCCCGGGCATCTTGGTATGGCCAGTCTTCGGGGACCACGTATTTCTTCTTAGGGTCGTTCTTCATGTATTCTAGAACCTTCTCCAGAGATTTGTGTTCCTTGATTAGATTGAGGGCAGTGCTGGGCCCGACCTTGGGAATGGGCTCCAGGTAGTCGCAGCCCAGAAGAATGCAGAGATCGATGAACTGTATTATGTAGTTAGTAATCGTGACTTCTATATGTTGACGGGGAATTTACCTGTGGACGGTCCATGTTCAGACCCTCTAGAGCTCGGCTCAGGTGGATCTCCTGAATAGGTTCCTTTCGCTGCTCACTGAAAGTAAGATGGCGCAGGAGAATCGGCGCATCAAAGCACAACGTATCCATATCCTCCGATGCAGCTCCATATACCTTGCCGGCACGGGCCAAAACAGCACATTGAGCCTCAGCCTCTGTAGGTGCATCGATGTAGGGAATTCCCATAAGCTTAAGAAGCTTCTTGCACTCATCATTGTGTTCGCGAGTGACACGAACAGTCCGTCGCGAGAACTTTTCAATATCCTCCGCAGTTCCAGTCTCCTTAGCCTCTTCATGGGCCTCGGTAGCTTCAGCCTTGCGTGCGACACGCTTTGCCAATTCGCCGGACTTGAGCTTTGGCGGGGCACCGTCGAAAACGTAGAGAGGCTTGATGCCGTTGTCCACCATCCGTAGTGTACGGTAGAACATGCCCATCAGATGGGATGTGGTCTCGCCCGACTCGCTCATCAGCTGTTGACCTTCTGATCGCACGGCAATCAAGAAACTGTAGATACTCATGGATCTGTGTTGGGTTAGCAACCAGTTGAGCTATCGTGACAGTGAACCAATGACGTACGCATCCTACACAAGTTATCACGAGTCAGCTTTGCTCAATACAATTTGTCCAAAGTAGATGGTGTGGAAGTCATACAATTGCGACCTTGCGGCCGAAGTGGTTCTTGATTTCGCCCGTCTTGATCGCATCTGGGGCGTTCTCGGAGATAACTTGGTAGAGGTCTGATGTTCATTAGCATGGATCAGAGATGACCAATTTCAAAACCACTCACGCTTAATACCCATGTTGGCGGTGGGATTGAGTTGTCTTGGTCAAGATGGAATGGGATCCAAGTTGAGCTTGACACCGCAGTACGCGAACGCGCTGGAGAGCGCGACACCATTAAACCCCAAAAGGGATAGCGTGACCAACAGTCATGTGATCTCTGCCAAGCTTTGGTGCCTTACTGCCTCACGCATGGATGCCTCAGGACACTACTGTGAGTAATTCGGGTCCAGGCGCCTTCATGCGACCCCGCCTTTCTCCCCGGAATGCGCCATGAGGAGGATGACCTCAACCTCCATACCAACATGAAGCGGAATCGCACCAACTTCGAGGCCAATGGAGAGGCTTCGTCCGCTTCTCCACAAGGCGCCTTCACGCCCGAGGACCACTCGCGACCTCACGTCCCGAAGATTTCTCGACGGATACGAGCATGCACGGAGTGTAAGCGGCATAAGGTTCGCTGTGACATGAAGGCAACCGACTCTGTGTGCTCAAGGTGTCGGCGCATGGGATTAGAGTGTGTCGTAAACAAAAGCCTTCAAACGTTACTGGAGGATGAAGCCGAGTGAGTGCCAATGGTCCGGTTAGAGCTGCCAAGTATTAATTGCGCCTGTGGCTGTTTAGGTGGAAGACGATGATCGAATCGGCGATGACGGACCTACTCAGAAAGTCTCAGCTACCCGAGCTATCATACTACCAAGCCGGCGGTAATTCGATCGAAACACCGTCGAAGAAGAGAAACCGGAAAGATTCCACCGTTTCGACTGATGATAATGGGACTGCACAACACAATCGGACGGAGTCGGTTGAAAATTCTGCCCGACATGCTACAGGTTCGAGGCCATCGAACTATAGCTTCTCACAGCAGCAGCCGCAATATTCTCTTGACCGAGAGGAAACCGGCGCTACTTCGTTAGTTACAGCACCAATGGGGAGTCTATACGAGGTGACACAATTGAGTGAAAACCGTGAGAGCTCGCCAGGACAAATGCTTGCACCGGACCAGGCATTGGTCACCGATTTCATCTCGCGCGGCGTGGTGAATATTGAAGAAGCCGAGGAGCTGTTTCTTCAGTTTGATCAGGTACTCAACCGATACCTATGGGATGGAGCATTATTGGCGCATAAAGACTTGACATCCGTTCGACGGTCATCATCGATGCTCTCCGCTGCCATCCTGGCTGTCACTGCACTTCACATGCCAACCAAGGAACGCACATTCGATACTTGTTACACGGAATTTGCAAAGCTAGCGTCAGAATCCATGCTAGGTCATCATCACACCATGGATGATATCCGTGCCCTATGTATCGGAGCTTTCTGGCTTGCGGATGTAAGTTGGAAGCTTTCTGGCTATGCGGTTCGTATTGCAACCGAACGCAATCTGCACCAATTCTATCGCAAGGCCGTACAAGGGTCACCAGAGCACATTGAACAGGCAAGGCTGTGGTATCTACTCTATGTAAGAATCCTTGGAGCAAAGATTGTCACTCGCTAACGCGTTTCAGACCTTGGAACATCATTTTTCTATTGCATATGGTCGACCACCGATGATCCACGAAGATGCTAGTGTTACTCAACACAATATCTTTACGCAGACACCGTCAACATCCCAAGGCGACCTTCGACTTCACAGTCAAGTTGACTTGTTTATAATTCTAACCCGTATATATTTTGCATTTGGTCCCGACGTCGACTTGGAGGTTCCCGAGAGTGATTTCCCCAAGATCGACCAGTTCGATCTTGATTTAGGAGATTGGAAGTCAGCGTGGCTTCCTCGACTTGGTGAGTGGTAGCCAATTCACAGTGTCTGTTTATACATTCTGACGCTCAATCCAGCTGGGAGCCGTTACGTCGGTGCATACCCCTACAAGGCCGTCTACATGCATTATCATTTCTCTCGATTACAGCTGAACTCAGTTGCTCTTCGTACATACCATTCTTCTACCTCCTCAGGACAAATGTCACTTGAACGGAGAAAGCGTGCCAACATAGCCGTCGAATCAGCCATTGCCACTCTCCAAGTTTGTTTAGATGAGCGAGACATCCAGCGTGCACTTGTCGGCGTCCCACTGTATCTCCACAGCATGATCACATTTGCAGCAGTCTTCCTGCTGAAAATTGCAGCCAAGGTTTGCTCAAATGGGGCCATTCCCGGGAGTCAAGGCCAACAGACCTCGATCGCCTCTGCAGGACTACACGTCGATGTCGGCTACGTGCGTGTCCTTGTTGGACGGGTCGTCGAGCTCATGGTATCATGCAGCCGCCGCGCAAGCGAGCGCCACCTCAGTCATCACATCGCAAGGGGTCTACGGAAGATGCTCACGGGGCTTGAGGAATGGGAGAAGCGCAACTCAGGGACACAACAGTCCATGGGCTCGAACCACGACTCTTCATCCCTCTTCAAGCCAGTGATCATACCCGGAGCTCAGGTTCTGGGCGAGCGTGATACAATTCTGAATCACCCACCTCCGTTGCTCGGAGTTGCGCCGCTATCTGCCGAGCGCCGCAATGGCTTTGAGCCGCCTGGTACCCCCGGAAAGCAGGAACCTGGTCTCTCTGAGGGTTCGGTAGACCCGATGATGGCGGATCTGTGGGGATTCGATGAGGACTACTTCCCCACGGGAGTGTTTGACTTCCTCCAGAGCCAGATGCCAGCGTGATATGCTGGTCCTAGATCTGGCATTCCTTGTTGCCATGTCCCTTGATCGTTCCACTACCTGTACATAGTAATGACGGCCCAATTAGCACCGAGCTGAATTTGGCTATTAGACATATACACTTAGAGCAGCCATTGATTGAGGTTATAATTGAGTACGGAATATACACCTCGGTGCTTGGCATACCCAAGCAAGAAAACCGAAAAAGTCCGAGTCGGTTGAACACACGGCAAACACCCAAATACCCGGGGAATCCGCCGAATCAGACTCGTTTAATAATTAAATTACAAGCCGAGTCCAACAATCTTCATTTTGTATGTAATTCAGGCCCCGTTCTCGGTGATTTTCTTTACCCCAAACTTGCAAAATTGCCGAGGTCTCTCCGCCGTCAGTGCATATTTGAAGCTTCCCCCGCAACCATTGTCTATTGGGTTCACACTCTCCTTGTACAAAAACGTTCACTACATAATATTGGATCATGATGAATCGATCTCTCCTGCGCGCAACAGCGCGCTCAATCCAGGCTGGCCCTACCGCTGTTGCAGGCCGCCGATACGCCTCGTCCGCCGTCTTCAACTGGGAAGATCCCTTGGCGGCAGCGGAGCTGTTCACAGAAGAAGAACTGGCCGTTCAAGACACAGCACGCCAGTACTGCCAAGATAAGCTCATGCCACGAGTTTTGGGTATGTATTCTTCCTTCACCTTGCTTCCACATAGTGATCTGACGTCAGTGTTTCCCCCACAGAGGCCTACCGCAACGAGGACTATGACCGGCGCATTTTGGAAGAGATGGGCGACTTAGGTCTTCTTGGCGCTTCAATTGAAGGATACGGCTGCGCCGGCGTCAGCACCGTGGCATCCGGCCTGATCACCAAGGAAGTGGAGCGTGTGGACTCAGGATACCGGTCAGGCATGTCCGTGCAGAGCTCGCTCGCCATGACGGGTATTTACGAGTTCGGCACAGAAGAGCAAAAGGAACGCTTCCTCCCTGGCTTGGCCAAGGGCCAGCTGGCTGGGTGCTTCGGCCTGACAGAGCCCAATCACGGCTCCGACCCTGGATCTATGGAGACCGTGGCTCGCGAACATCCCACACAAAAGGGCATGTACTTGCTATCCGGTAGCAAGACGTGGATCACCAACTCGCCCATCTGTGACCTTGCCCTTGTGTGGGCTAAGCTCGAGTCGACGGGTAAGATCCGTGGATTTGTTGTTGAGCGCTCGCGATGCCCACCGGGTACGTTCGAGACTCCTGCTATCAAGAATAAGACTGCCCTGCGGGCTTCTATCACCGGTATGATCCAGATGGATGACTGCCCCGTGCCGGTGGAGAATATGTTCCCCGAGGTTGAGGGCCTAAAGGGACCGTTTACGTGTTTGAACAGTGCCCGGTTGGGCATTGCCTTTGGCGCCATGGGCGCCTTGGAGGATTGTCTTGCCCGTGCGCGCGAATACAGTCTGGAGCGCAAGCAGTTCAAGGGCAACCCGCTGGCCAAGTATCAGCTTGTTCAGAAGAAGCTGACTGATGCTGCTACGGACGCTGCCTATGGTACCCTGGCTGCTGTGCAGGTGGCTCGTCTTAAGGATGCTGGCAAGGCTACACCTGAGATGATCTCCATGGTAAAGCGTCAGAACTGTGACCGGGCCTTGGCCAACTCGAGAATGTATGTTTCCTGTTTTGGGCTCTGGGTGGTTGGTTAAATTGCTGACATTTGTATTAGTCTACAAGAGGTCTTTGGTGGCAATGCTGCTAGCGATGAATACCATATTGCCCGCCATGTGGCTAACCTATTTGTGGTGCAGACATACGAGGGCCAGAGCGATATCCACGGTAAGTCATGCAAGCCTGGTTGTGTTGGGCAGAGACTAATGAGATATAGCATTGATTCTAGGCCGTGCCATCACCGGCGTACAGGCCTTTGTCTAGAGAATCGAATATAATACCAAAGAAGTATACGGGCTGCTGATCTAAGCCGGGATTTTGCGCCTCACCCGCACGTGACATCATCGAGGGGCAGATACCGTACGGTATCATGATTACTATCAAATTATAACATTGTATAGGTAGAATATTCAGGATCTGCTTACACTGGATCTGTAAATTGTTCAATCTCACCTGAATCCGACCCCAGATCAGCCCTATTTCTTAGCCTAGATTCATGAATAATAGATTATTCCGTCCTCTTCTGCCTTCTTCTACGTAGCATAGCCCAATAGCCCAATACAGCCGGATGATTCAGGATGTGTCATCTGTGGCGGTATTGGTATTGTAATGGGAGAAACCCGCCCACTTTTCCCCCTCTCAATCTTCTCTTCTTTCTCTTTCTTTTCCACACAAAGACGTAATCGTAAGGCCTTCCCCCTTCTTCTTCCTTTTCACTTCTGACGATCTTCTTCTAGTTCTCTTTTTGACTTTACTTTCTCTTTGCTCGTCATGGCTCTCAAGCGCATTAACAAGGAACTCACTGACCTCGGCCGGTAAGCCTGTCCCAGAGATGACGATTTGCGATCTATCCAGAACTGACTTTGACTGTGTTTAGGGACCCGCCCTCTTCCTGCTCCGCTGGTCCTGTCGGCGATGACCTGGTATGAGATTCCATTCTGGTGCTCGTTGGCGCTGTGGCGGGGCACGTGTGCCCTGCTGATCAGTGGCCTGATATTGATACAAATGGACATGGATAACTGACTGGTGTGTTTCTGCTACAGTTCCACTGGCAAGCAACGATCATGGGTCCTGTAAGTCATTTCTCGTCGCTCTTTCTCTGGGGACCTTGGTGAGAGGGTGGCCATCTGTCCCCCCACCAAGCACAGAGGGATCAATTCTCAGCCGCACGGTACTAATGTTCTCTCTAGGGTGACTCCCCATACTCAGGCGGTGTCTTCTTCCTGTCCATTCACTTCCCTACCGACTACCCCTTCAAGCCTCCCAAGGTCAACTTCACCACTCGCATCTACCACCCCAACATCAACTCGAACGGCAGCATCTGTCTGGACATCCTGAGGGACCAATGGAGCCCCGCACTCACCATTTCCAAGGGTGAGTAACCCAGCCCTACCATACATCTATATCATATGACTAACATGTTCTAGTGTTGCTCTCCATCTGCTCGATGCTCACAGACCCCAACCCGGATGACCCTCTCGTCCCCGAAATCGCGCACGTCTATAAGACCGACCGCCAACGATACGAGGCGACAGCTCGCGAATGGACCCGCAAGTACGCTATTTGAGAATTTGAAACGACAAATCAATATCATGTGTCTTTATCGCTCCTCCATTCCCACCTTTCTCCTCGGCCCCTTATGATCTCCCACTCGACGACAAAATACCTCTCGATTTCTTTCCAACTTTGTCGCTCTGCATCTTTCCGCTTCGCCGTTCTTGTGCCCCGCAACCCACGTTAGAATCAAATTCAGAATCCGAACCCGCGAAAGTCTGGCGTACCCCGTGGTCGTAGATACGTTTCTTCTTGCCGTCTTCTTGCACTATTACTTGATCCAGTTTTATGTCACCTTCAAATTCAAATGCCTGTCTCTTCTCCGTGATCGCGCTTGCTTGCTTTACTTTTGCCCGCGTGTTTGCGCGGTGACGTTTCGTGGTCGTTGAATTTGAGAGTTCCTGGGACCCAATGTCATACTCCAACGATCCTTATGACCAACTTCTTCATGCATGGCATCTTTGTTTTCCAAGGTTTCTTTCTGAGATTTTTCGTAAGGATTGATTCTGCTTTCAGAGAACTTCTACATTTCTACAGTGCTGCTCTGCGGGTTGCTTCGGTTTTTTGGATTATGCGGTTGAACGATTAACGATGGAAGATGGAGGCTAGATGCAGTTGCCGATTATGTGGACTTGTCATCATGAGGTCTTGTGTGTCTTGTGCTAGGTGCTAGTGGCTGTTCTCTTTTCTTCTATGAATAGCACAATCCAGGCAGGTCCCTCGGTGTTGATTTGGTCTATACCTCGTAGTAACCATAAGTAACCTCATAGTAGCTATGTAGCTTCATATCATACACTCACGTTATACATAAAAAAAGCATGTCAAACCCCTATATCCCTTTAGAAAACTTGGGCAAGGCGAGTAAGTGATCACGTTATTCACGCCTGAGGTATCAGGTGGCATACGAAACGCTAAGTTAGTTATATGAATCTCACCACCGTATTAGTCTAAGAGAAAGACCCTATTTTTACAGGACCCTCCTGCCCCAATTCGGCCTAGATTTGGAAAAGCTTCTTAGTTTTCTTGTTGAGATCTCGTCAGATCACACGCATATCAAGAGATGCCATGGAGAGGCAGAGATGCCATGGAGAGGCAGAGATGCCATGGAGAGGTGGATAGTGCAATCTATGCACTCATTCCGTTGCATTTCAATTGTAAGGGTTCATCAGTTTCGGGTATGAATATCGGGTTAGGGCTATCGTTTTGGATATGACGCTTTGGGGCCTTTCGACATTCTCTTTGCAGCTTTTGTTTCTACTGCTAGTAGGTTTAGACGTACGAACAAGTTAATGATTTATTCGAATAGAATAGAAGCGTAGGCTCCAACAGGTTAACGTTAATAGAACTTGTATTACTCGAAACCAGTATCACTTTGAATGCATCAACACACTAACCCTTCGCAGTTACCCTTCCCAATTCGCTATCACGCCTTGTCTTCATCTTCCACGAGTCTTGCCAACATCTCTTCACTGACATCATCCATCTTGACAAGTTTTATACTCGACATAGATAAATCCAGTCAAAGGTTGATTCTCTCGAAAATGCATCTCAATATCAATTCCCAAAACTCCACCATATGATGAATGTATGTATGTATAGTATAGTATGTCTCTATCTGTGTAAATGCAAATCAAGAAGAAAAGAACAGTAATGAAACAAGCAAAAAAGCAAAAACCTGGTTTCTTTATAGAATCAATCTGGTCTGGTCTGTCGTATCGAAATCCCAAAACTGAATTCATACCTTCCAACCTCTTCAAACTCAGACTTGATCCAAGATGAGCCATGTCCAGGAAGAGGAGAAAGAGCAAATCCAGTCCAAAAAGCCAAAGGCAGATGCAAATTAATGCAGTAGAAGAATGCAACTGGATATACCCCTTCCAAAGGGTGTGTATCAATGCCAAAGAAGAAGAAAAGGAAAGAGAAGAAACGAAGGCAAGAAATGCAAATATTACGCAAGGAAGATGCACCCATCAACATCAACATCACCATCACCACAACTCAAAATCATACAACCTGACTACCCCTCCGACTCTCAGGCGCCTTAGCAGTCCGCTGCGAAGCCCTAGAAACCTGACTAACAGAATCAGCCGGTCTCACGGGCTCATCGAACTTCGAACCAGCCTTGGAGCCCGAACCAACCTTCGACCCAACCTTAGAAGCAGCCTTCGAATGAACGGAAGGCTCCCTCTTCGAAGCACGCGAATGCGAAGACCGATGCGAGCGCGAGCGTGAACGATGCGAACGCGCATGACTATGAGACGAATGTCTAGATCTAGACCGTCCACCGTGGTGGCTATGGCCTCCAACCTGGCTGATTGAGTCATCGGGTGTGACGTTCGAGTTGACATCGACGTCGAGGACGCTTTCGGGCAGGAAGATGTCTCGAGGGGAGAGGGAGACGTAGGAGGTTTTGTCTGCGGAGCGGGTTATTTCGCCTCCGGCGCCGTGGTAGCCATCTGCGGCGCCGCTGTGGATGCTTGGGCTGGAGTAGAAGGTCGAGATTGAGCCCTGGGGCAGGGGGATTTGGCGGGCAGAGACGTGGGAGTTTTTGGCTGTGCTACCGCCGCCGTTGTCTTTGCTGTGAATGCTTGGACTGGAGTATGTTGTTGTTTGTGAGCCTGTTGGGAGGGGGACGTTGCGGGCTGAGCGGGTTGAGGTTGAGGGGGCGTTGCTTGGTTCTTTGGCGTTGCCGGTTGCTGAGGGTGAGCCGCCGCGGTGTGAGGATGGGGCTACTGAGGCGGATTTGACGGAGGCTGCGCGGTAGGTGGTGTGCTGGCTGTGCACCTGGCTGCTATGAGTCGAGTATCCATCTCTATCATCGTGGCTGTGACGGCGCTGCACGCTGGCCTGGGAGGCCTTGATTGTTGACGAGCTGTGAATGCTGCCACTGGAGTTGTTGCGGGGCTTGTCATTCGCATAGCTGCTGATGAAAGTGGACGGGTTGCAGGGATAGCGCTGCTGCGAGGCGTTGCTCGGGGGTGGATACTCGATTGCGCGTAAGGGGAGATCTTCGGGGATACTGTAGATGCTACCCTCTGAAGCGCGGCGGCCGGGGTCGTCGTGAATGAACTCTGTTCCTTCGTAGATGGTGCTCGCGCGCGGGTTCTTGGAGGTTACGCTGCGCGTGAGGGTTGTGCGTGGCGCCGAGGCTGCTGTGTATGCGCTCCGGGCGTATTCACTGCGGGCATATTCGCTGCGTGGAGGTGGTGCTTCCAGGGCTCGGTATTGGCTTGGGCTGGGCTCTTCGTCCTCGTGAGAGGCTTGGGAGGGTGCCGCCTTGAGCTGGGGAAAGTTGGTCACGTATTGCATGGGACTTTGCTCAGTGGTGGACTGGTTTTCGCCTTTGACCATTGCATAGGCGATGGCTGCACCTGCTGCTGCGCCGATAAGGGTGCCAACGATTGTCTTGGCTGCTCTGCTGCCATCGTCGGCTTTCGGGGGCGTTTGCGGGGGCGTTTGAAGCCCGTATTGTTGTTGCGAGGGTGCCTGGGACTGTGCCCGGGATACGACTGTCGGGGCAGAGCGCTCAATGGCAGTAGGTGCCTTTGAGACAGCGCGAGAATGGGCCTCGGACCTTGGGGGTGCGATGCTCTCTGCTCTGAGGCTCTCGGCCTTAACGGTGCTGGCTTTGCTGCTCACTTTGGAGACCACGGACCGGCTGTCTTTGTTCTCTAGTAGGGCCATTGTCGGCCCGCTGGCGGCGGAGACGACTGACGCGCCACTGCTGATCGGCCGGTATACAGCTTCGATGCTGTTGCCGTCGAAGTCGATGACTGCCGCGCTGAAATACCCAGTTTGGGAATCCCGTTCCTTGGGCTCGCCGTGTATTTTCCCACCGGCCTTCAAGGCGCTGATGAAGAATGAGGCGACGGCGTCTCTTGACGGGGCTGGGAAAGCGACATGAACTGCACCAGGAGGGACTCTTAAGTCGGGTTAGCTTATGGTCACGGCCATATTTGCATATACATACCCAGGCTTCTGTTCGGTCATCCAGAAATCAGCAGGCTCCCCCTGCTTCTGACCGAAACCTATATAGTCGTCATGTCTCCCAATGAACTGATAACCCAAAGGTTGCAGACAAGATAGGAAGAAAGAAGTGGAAGTCGGCAGATGAGAGACCGTGAGGGTGATATGTGAAACAGGCATTGTTGAAGTATGTACGAAGACACGTACTGTGGAATGGGAAAGCGAAAGACAAGGGTGAAGAGATGAAAATGGAAAGGAAGTTGCATTTAACTCAGAGCCGGGAATTGAGGGCCTGGATATATACGGTGAGAGACAAGTCTATACTATGACCAGGGGGAAAAACGAGGCCGAAGCTAACCCCTACAGCCAGCCAGTCAGCATCGGCAGCTTTCCAGATTCGCGGTAAAGGCACGCGCAGTCTCCCGATTTCCTGCCCAAGTGTCATCAAAGGACGAACTTGTCAGCAGTCGTCCCAGAACGGCGAGCCACAGCTGGAGACCAGCCCCTCCGAGATGACAGTGGGCCTCGTACAGAGAGACATGAGAGTTCTCGATGGAGTCAGGGTGGGTAATTCTTGGACTTTTGATTAGCCATAACTGTGTTCAACCGGTTATGCTGAATGGCCCGAGAGATCAGCAGCTTGAAACAGCCAGAGCAAGGCGAGTAGTGTCGGATATGAAGGCCCAAGGTGTGCCGTAGCGGACGCTAAGTTGGCAAATTGCTGTGTTTGGTTAGAGGCCCGATTTAGGACTGGTTCAAGGGCTGCCAGGTCACCGCGGGGAGTCCAAGTGGACGCGGATGGGGCGCTTGGTCGAGATGCAGTAGTTCAAGTGGGTTGGTGGAGAGAGGAAGTGGTGGCCAGTGAGGGATTCCAAGCAATCTCAACTTGGGCAGATGTGCTGACCGCCACTATTCTTGTCTTCCGACTCTCTATAGTAGTGGTGGTTTTTGATAGGATCCTAATTATTGAAAAGGATTTGATTAGGAAGCAAATCATGAAGGCAATACTACACAAGTACTCTGTAGAGTACACTACTGTATGTCGGCGGATCCCCATTTGCATCCAAAGTGAGGCGCTAGTTGCATGCCACGTCGCATACGAAAGGAATAAAATAGCTATATTTGTAACACAGAAGTTGAAGATATGTGCCTTGGCTCAGGATCCAAGTCAATGGGTCCTGATCTATATGCTGTTCACTTTTTCTGATCTGCCCATCACAGTCGAGGTTGAACCTGTGGATGGAAGACGGATCAGGACTGACTGGCGAAAAGGAACCAAATGCCCTCCAGCCCGTAACGTGTCATGCGGAGACAGGGGAGAGAAAAAAAACCTCCAAAGGACACAAGTCCCCAACCAGAACGACCTGGGATCGAATCCCGAGGCTTGGTGTCCCGTCAAGTGATTCCCGACACTGGAATCTCCTTAAAAACAAAACCGAGAGAAAGGTAGAGATGGGCTTTTACACTCAGCAATTGGCACGCGTAGTGTCATGCAACTCAATCCCCGCCCGTAAGAAAAATTCGTGGCCTCATGGCAGATGCCGTCGCGACGGCAAGGTGCGCGCTTAATGCTGCGCGATTTAGTCTAGTCTCTCACAGGATATCCCAGACCTCTTCGGCGGCGTGGCAGAACTTGCTGCAGGCGACACTGGCACTCAGACTGTAGTTGCTGATACTGATAGATTCATCCTTGAAACTGTCGGCAAAGTCATCGTGGCCCTTGGCCATGGCACCAACGAAAATGGCGACGGACTCGTTCGGGTTCAGCGACTCCAAGTAGTCCTTGGTGCGGACCACGGGGGCCTCGAAACTCATGGTCACCTTACGGCAGTTGGGGGGCAGGTGGTCGGTGATAGGGTTCTTGATGACCTTGAGGAGTTTTTCCTGGGAATTGGTGGAGCGGATGGAGAGACGGTGGAGCAGCTGGACCATCAAACCGGCGAAACGCTTGAAAGTTCTGGGAATGCGAACGGAGGGGTTGACTTCGATCAGCACACCCTTGGCCGTGTGGATGAAAATTTGCAAGCGACCGGCCTTGTTAACGGGGGAATCGAGGAGAGTAAGAAGGCACTTGATAAGGATTAGTGAAGGCAAAATTTTCAATGGCATTGCCAACTCATACCTGGTGGGTGATATCCGGGCGAGCTTCGCTGATATCACGGTTCATCTTGCGCATGATACCGATGTGCTCATCGCTGTTCAGCAGAGAGTACTTCTCATCTTTGGATCCATTGCGTCCGCTTGAGACAGCTCGGTAGGTCTCCAGACTGGCATTGGAGAGAACCACGATCAGGCGCTGGGTGTCCTTATCGTGCGTAGGAATAGCCACATGCTGCTCTGCGACGAGCTGGGGGAGCTCCGGGGGAGGACATGACTGGGTCCCTGGGGACAAAGAGTTAGACATCTTGTCGGCTCTGAACTTGTACAGAAGCGGGAGAGGTAGAAAAAAGGGCTGTAAGGAAGAACGATTGGCCCAGCAACGTCACACCGCAGTGACAATCACAACTTGAGGGGACTAGGGACCAATCTCAGGGCTTGGGGATGGTTTCGAACAGGTCTGGTTCGAAAAAATCGGAGAAGCGCAGAGTGGCCACATTGGCGCCACCGAGAGGGAAAAAAGGACAACATAAGAACAAGGACACTTACTCGCACGCTTGCGCTTTCCTGCTGCTTGAGCTGAGTCGGACATTGTGAAGTTGGTTGGGAGTTGAAGAGTTTTTGTTAAATTTTGGGGGTCCGGTCGGAGATCCGCTGAAAAGCGGGAACCAGACGTCCAGAGGTCAGCCATATATACCTCAACCTCACGACAGTACATAGCCCTGGTGTGCTTCTGCTGATACTCGCATGAAGTCCCCGATTGTTTCGGGGACTTTCTACGGGATTCTTATCTGACATTTACAGACAGACAAACATACAGACAAGACACTTATAATTGTACAGCCTCCAGTTAGTTTCCAATTAGCTTCTATTCTATAGCCATTTCATCTAGTATCCCCATATCCCCATACTCTTATGCTACGTGTATATATAGTCCAGGAACCGTTGGACAATCTTCTGCAGCGCACCGATTCTGGCGGGGTGGGATCGACATACCCCCCCAATCGTGCCTATACATCTCAGTAAGCACTAACGTTACCATGCATGCAACATTGGAAACCTTGGAAACCCTGAAGATTAGAGATGAAAACAGCTGTCCACTGTTAGAATCTCACAGCCTTCCACAACTACAACCGGAGAAACAGAGCCCGGATGATGTGAGAGCTCTCAAATCCTGCAGCCTATGGCGCCCACGAAACTCTCTGATGCAAAAGGCCACCACACCTCTGGTGTTGGACCAGATGATGAGCATGTGTAACAGATCCTGCAGTCGTGCTGAAGCAGACGCCAATCAGCCCGGTGTCTCCCATAGCCCCCATGGACTATAGGGGAAGGCTATCGGTTGGGGGCCCATCGAGTGATACGAAGTCAGCCCCAAGGCGCGCCATGCGAGGCTGCATCTAAGCAATGAAGGACGCGCAGCCTGCACCTGCCAGCCTGTTTTGACTAGGATATAGACTAGGTATGTCAAATCAGGTCAAGTTGCCATGAACTCTACTGTATGCTGTATACCCATGCACTGTGAGATCCGGGGGCCAAGGGTGTCTGCGATGGGACCTCGTAACCTGGCCTCGTGTCAAGCCAATCACTGTCGGTGATCTTCGATCTCCCACAGGCTGTGATCCAATTAGCATAAATGCGCTCTTGTTGGTCCGTTTGGCACTTCGGGCTAGGTGGAAATAAAGGTGGAAATAATGTCTCCTAAGTTGGTGCCTGTGGGTAGTGGGACCCAACGTGCGGTTCTTGACGCCCAGAGGATGTCGCAATTGTTTAATTTCTCAGGAGTGTCACGATGGTACGATTGGTTGAGATAATGTATTGTGATTGACGGGTTCCTGGGCCCATGAAAGGGGGTGCCCGACGTGCCACTCCAACATGCCAACGGGGGGATGTGGAGGGATTTGGAGGAATTTGAGAGGCTGTATTTGTATACAATTCACACCTTTACACTTGACTTTGTACATATTCACGTCTCTCCTATGTGATCCAGCCACAATCCTGGCTTGGTGGCGAAGAGGGTCATTAAACTCTCCACATGTTGATCATATAAACACCTTACCTCCCAAGCGAGCTCCCAGCAGACAGCACCAGCAGGCAGCACACAACACCAAACACCAGCAGACAAAAGTCAACAGACAACAGACAACAGACACAGCAAGGGATAGGTGAGTGGTCGTAATCGCAGTCGAAACAATATGACCTAAAATAGACTAGCGTCCCACGCGTGCCGTCACCGATTCAACTTGAACTTTCTCAACTTCTCCCACTTAACCATTTTGGAAAAGCAGGGATGCCGTGGACTGTCACCAATTCTTTTAAGCGGTATGTCTCCTTCTCTATCTTCTCTATGCGCGCCACTCACTCACTAACTTTGTCCAGAGGCCTCATGAAAACATACGGAAGACCGACATGGCGCGTCTACGATGACGAGCGCGTTGCAAAGAAAAGACGCGTGCAGGATGAGTCGGATGAAGCAGAGACCAACCTACAATATGCTATTCGCGAATCTTCAGCTGCTGTGCTCTCTAGCCCGTCGCGTCGCAATTCCGTCGTGCTGTCGGAAGGCACGCTCGATGATATTGACGATCTCACAACACCACCCTCGTCGCCACCCCCACGATTAAGTCCGCCGCCAGCAAATACTCGCAAACCAACATTTGCCTTTCTCAAGCGAAAGCACAAGGATACCGTGTCACCGCTGACAGAGGTCAACTCGAACAGTGTGCGCTCGTCGGTGGAGCCCAAGAAGGGGCAGAAACCAGTGATGCGCCAGATGCAGATTGACCTGGGAAATGACACACGAAAGACGTGCGCGACCTGTGGCATGGAATATATCCCCTCCAACACCGAGGACGCGGCGCTGCATAAAAAGTTCCACGAGATGAATGCTACGGGGATCGACCTGGGCAAGGCATTTATGCGCGCGAACGCCTCGCGCTGGGTCTACGAAGCTACTCGGTTCGATGAGGGATACGTGGTGATTGTCGATCGCAAGGCATCCCCCAGTGCGAAAAATCAAGCCAAGAAGGTGCTCGAGGTGGTCAACAAAGAACTCTCATCGCCAGAGATTGACGATGAAACACTCTGGAGCCAAACAGAGCCACCCAAACATCTGCAGGATGGCCCGACCGAGAAAGTGGATCGGTATCGGGTGTTTCTGCATATGAAGGACAGTCGCTGTGTTGGGCTCTGCCTGACGGAGCGCATCTGGGAATCACGCCCGGTCGCGACGGATCAAAATGGCGCCAACGGCTCCTCAGTTTCCGTGCGAGATGAACTACGCCCGGCCATTGTCGGAGTTTCTCGTATCTGGACCTCCGGATCCTCGCGGCGAAAGGGAATCGCCTTGGATCTCCTCGACTGTGTGGTGATCAACTTTATTTACGGAATGGAAATAAGCAAGGCACAAATTGCATTCAGCCAGCCCACCGAGAGTGGAAAGCGTCTGGCACATAAATTCTTCGAGGATGAAGAGACATGGCATGTCTATAACGAGCGGTGATGGGAGGGGAGATTATTATTAATAAGGAGGAGCTTGTTTACCTGTATCATACTTGCCCATAGCATCTGGGATTTCAAATTGAAATTCGAGTTTCAATGTTTCAATATTTCAATGTTTTATTCACAACGCGGCCTCTCGGGGCCGCCGGACGCTTCGATCGGAACGCGGCGCGTAGGAACCTCATGGATAAGAAACTCAGCGGGGGACTCCCCTCTCCCCTCAATCTTCTCCCATCCACTTCGCGATGTCTGGATCAAATCCCTTCCGCGCAAGAAACCTGGGTCAGTCTTCTTCCTCTCTGTCCGATATCCCGAATGCACCTCTAACTGTAGACAGGCAATCCCGCAGATCCTCAATCGAAGAATGCCCCCAACCCTCCCCAATCCACCCCCACCATAGCAAACGGCTACCCGGGGAAATCATCTATATCCCTCGAGCTCGAGGTAGACGACTCGAGCTCGGACGAAAACCCGTTCAACCCGGACGCCTTGGCCAGCGACAGCGAGGCCAGCGACTCTGCCTCCAAGAGCTCAGCTCCTGGTGATCGCCGTGCATTCTTTGGGTCTGCTCCACTCCCTGCTCCATCCCCAGATGGATCCTCTACGCCATCCTCCACGCAGCCATCTATATCAACAGACCGCAATGTGCAGTCTGCATCAGGAGATGGTCCTGTAGCCCCTGACGCATCCCGAGACCGTTCCCAGCGCTCTCTACGCTCCGAGGCTCAATCTTCCCCCTCCCAGGAAAGTACCGCCCGGACGAGGGAGAAGAAGCCCCCGCCTCCGCCCAAGAGCCATCACGGGAAACGGATTAGCCATACAGCTACGACTATGAGCGATGTAGATGCAGATGCACACTCTTCACATTCAGCAGCTCGCTGGAGGTCTAGTAACAGGCTATCAATCCATGGCTCCTCAACGGAAAGGGTGACGCCTGGCGCTGCCCATCCCAGCTCGGTATCCCTACCCTCAGCAGCAGACTACTTCTCGGTATCAGAGAACCAGACGGCAACAGAACCAACAGATTCTCTGCAACGCAGCCACTCCCAGAAACGACCCCCAACTCCACCCGTCAGTCGACGACACAGTCAAATGCGGAGATCAAAATCCACCCAGTCCAAATCTAGCCGCTTAACCATGTCCTCGTGCGACTCAGAGCGTGAGAGTAATAGCTCCTTGCCTCCAAGTCCGGGTCCAACTCGATCCCTGGCGTCAAAGAGAATCAGTATGCCTCCGCCTTCATCATCGGGGGAGTTCCAGGCTGCAATTCCTTCAGGGGATGTCTCTCTCAATCCATTGGGTTCTCCTAGTTCTGGACCCCCCTCACTGAAAGCTGGTCGGCGTGCTTCCTCTTATGGAAGTGTTCCGTCCAATTCATCGTATGGGCCTCCTCCTCCACCGCCGCCTCGTCGGACGAGGGATTCTGCTATCCGTAGTAGTGCAGGTGATAGCCCGCCGGTGTCGAGGGTGGTCACTGATGAGAATGCGCCTCTTCCGCAGCCGTCTAATGCTTTGGATATCTTGGCTGATTTGACGAAATTGCAGAAGGAGGTGGATGATCTGAGGGGTCATTATGAGAATCGTAAGGTTGAGTGACGGGTTTGGGGGCTAGAGTGGTACAGCGGGACTGTATTCTCTTGTTCTTTTCTCCTTTATAGCGTGGCATAGGTGGTTGTATACATGAATGAATGATTGTATGAAGTTGGCGTATCGTTATGTCAATGTTTGACCGGTATATTGCTTGTTCTATATATATATAGACATTCTTCTTCTTCTTCTTTTCCTTTCATCAATTCCAACATCGAACCCTCCTAATATTATGTCTACGTCTCCCTCTTCCTTTCCATTGTTTTCACAGACAACCATACACATTTAAATTCCTACATTCAGTCAATCCCTTCTGCCATGCCATTGACTAAGGTGGATTCCTGCGAGTAACCTTGCACGTATCATTGATTTCACGAGACAAGACGGTCTCTGAACCAAGACTATCCCGATAAGGACTAAGGATGCTTCAAGAAGACGAGAAATCACTGGTATAGGTATCCAGTGCCTTCTTTCTTAAATTCCTCTTTCTTGTATACCTCTTTCTCTTTCAAGAGATGAAGAGATGACATTACAAAGAGATCCGCATTGCTCTGGCTTACATGCAAAGGCATAACCATTGAAACCGCTTCATCGGATCGAAAATTGACATAGTCTTCGGTGGGAGGAATTTTGATGGCCGTCGGAAATATAGCAACATAAGCCTTCTCGTTGTTCCCGGTTCTGTTTTGTTATATCGGTCTTCCCTTCCTCTCCAAATTCCAGCTGGAGATGCGTGGACGATGTCCAATTGCCAAGCAGATTTCCGACAGAAATGCGTCTACGCAATTGCGATTCGTTTCTATCAAGGCTGCAAATAAGCATGGAGTGTTGTGTTCATCGCACCATATGAGGCGAGACGTTTCCTGATCGAATTGATCCTAATTCTACAGCTATACTTGATGAATACAGTGCATCGCCCATGATTGTGTCTAATGTTTCAGGTCTTGGTTCGCTCAGAAAACCGATTCCAAGTGAAAGGAAAGGCAGTTGTCCGTCTTGTGCTTCTGAATTATGTTGGCTCCTTACTACCTCCCACGTTGGATGTAATAGATATACTCTGATTATTTCGAATTGCTTCGATACAAAATAGATAAAATGACCAAAAGATTCAATGCATCCCTGCGAATACATCACACAGGTAGTGTGCTAGAATATCAAAAACAGAACTCCAAGTCATACTCCGTCACCATACTATATAAGCCTTTTCCATCTTGCTCATTATACTTGTGCTCCCACGTCCTCTTTCACTGGGGAAGCTCAGCAGGATACTCCTTATCATGCCGACTCGAAGAAAACCGCTTATCCCTACTCGGAAGCTCAGTATACTTCTCAAGCTTAGGACCGCTCTGCGGATGATGTGAATCAGCCGGCAACTCCGCAACAAAACTCTTCTGACTATATCTCGGCGGCAAAGAATACTTCGTCGACCCAGACACAGACCCCGACCCTCCCTGCTCACGCTCATTCTCATACTCGACCGGCGAAGTCGGCGTCTGAGACGACCACCTAGACGCCCTCCGATCCAGACCCGAATGCCGCACCGAAGGCGACATCCCCAAATTCGACCGATCAGCCGGATTATAAGTCCTCAACTTCCCATCCTCCATCATAGCCTGCAAAACACCGGCATCAAGCAACTCGGCCTTCTTAATCAACCGATCAACCAGAACCTTCGAAGCAGCCTTCAACTGATTCTTCACAAACGATATCAGCGTCAAATTACACTGGATCTCGACATCCTCGCGCAGATAGAGTCCATTCGCAGGCGCGCCTGCCGAGCGCGGTTCCCGTCCTTCTAGATCGGGCGGTTCGTCTGGCTGGTTGCCCGCGATGCGCCATTTGCTTTGGAGGTCGATGCCCATCGGTGCGTACATGTGGGTCTGTAGGCCCCAGGTTGTGTCGTGGAAACAGCCTTTGAAGCTTATCTTGCCTGAGCCCAGCTTTCCTAGACCAGGTAGGTATTGCACTCTTTCTATGATCTCGTACCAGGTTGAGTAGTATTCGTCTGAGGTTGCATCTCGTGGGGCTCTGATCGGGTGGTGCGAGAGGACTAGTGGGTTCAGGGTGATTATTTCGCTGTGGCTGTGTAGGATATCCAGGGCTAGTTGGCGGGGTACGTTGGAAGGGATGGGTGTGATTTGTGTATATGTTTCTCTTTTGCGCATCATCTTGGAGAGTTTTCTGGTTGTACAAGGTGGAGTAGAGGGAAACTCGAAGTCATATAGCGTTTTGGCCTCGTATTCTGCTTACTCTCTGACATTAAGGTTGGGCCATCCCGCATTAACAAAGGGCTGAAGACTTCGACAGTATGTATTTGATGTGATAGGGTGTGCTCAGCCGCAATATTATAAGCAGATTTTAAGTGGTAAGAGTCCAGAGTACGAGCAGAGGGCTGAATATTGGATGATATGAAGTGGATCTGGGCCAGTAGCGTTGGGCCGTTATAGTTATATGGCCAATGCTTTTATTGGGCTTGAATACGACATTTTTTTCACTTCGGCTCCATTAGATTATTAGATTATTGCGTTGAACACACAAAAGGACTGTTGCACTCATATTCTGCTACATGTTAATGCGGAATGTGAGTCAGTACGACCGAACTACGTAGACACATGTGCATGTATGTGCATAACAACTTATATTGAACGAGATATAAGTTAATATATAATAAACAACTAACATAGTATAACAAAGTGATCTGAGGACCTTATAGAAATACCCATGGATGTTTGCCCGTTTTAAGGTAATATGACGTCGAGTCCAATAATTTGCTTATTTCTCCCCGCAGTCTTTCCTCAACTTCTCAACTCCGAACTTCTTAACTTGTTGACCACTGGCTGATACCCCAGGATCTCTTGTATTAACATGTCTACTCCTACGCTGATCAACTTGCCACCTCCCCCGTCGGACCCTGTCACCCCGTCGGAGATGGGACCGTAAGACCTTCATCTCTGTTTCTATCTCAGTTGGAGTTTCTGTTTGACTGACCTGGGTAATGGATTGGTTAGAGGCACTCCCAATTCTGGCACCACTTCGCTGTCCGCGCTGTCCACCACAGCCATCAAGGACGGCCACCAGGGCCAACCATTTCCCCACGGCCGCCACGCGCACCAGTCCTCCTCTGCTTCCACCTCCTCCACAACAACCCTAGAAGCCGAGCGCGCAGATCGCATCTCTCGCCTAGCTGGTCTCGAGCGGGTCGCAACAGCACGCGCGGGCGGCCAGTCCAACGCGCCCACCTCATATGCACCAGGATACTTCGAAAGCCAAGCCCTGAAGGAGCGAAGCACAGTCGGCAGCGCCAGCGCGACGGGGAGCATTGGCGGCCGCACAACCTGGGCGAGTGGAAGCGATGCATTTGACGCAGACAAAATGAGTGAAGACCACGACCCGGATGATGGAACCTCGAGCGTGAGCAATATCAGTGATGAAGGCAATGCCAGTCTTGTAGGATTCGGTGAGGGCGCCAACAGTACGATCAGTGGACCGACCTCTCGCCCTGCCGGATTGAACCGTTTGTCCTCTGGAGGTCCTGGGGCGCGTCCGACTTCGATGAGCAGCACTGTTGGCCGGCCCAACCCTCTTACCTCTTACCTTCAGCAGCAACAGTATCATGCTGGCGAAAGCTCGATGAGGTCCCCTTCTCCTGCTGGATCGAGTACCCCCGAGCCTATGAATGAGGATGCTCGTATGATGAATGGTATGACGTTCGATCCCGATGTGATTGATACTACCGCCAGAACCCCGCGTCTGGCTACTCCGTCTGGGCACAGCAATGGATTTGGCTCACCAGGCCGGGACTAGAATGGGTGTTTCCAAGGTTGTTAGATCAAGAAATTACGAATGGCGTTTTTGCTTTCTTTGGGCTCTGCTTTCAAGTACCAATGGCAATGTATGTAATTCTACAGGGATCCCTGAGAAAGTCGGTGGATATGACTGACGTGTAGGAGAGGAGTATTGACTTTAATGCAAACTATTTATCTCATATGGACTCTACTCTGTGGCCTGTGGCGGTGCTATATTGAGCACATGACTGGGTTATTCCCCTCTTTATGTAGGATAAATACGGCCACCTGTCTTCGAAAGGGACACGAGTAGAAGGAATCAAATTGACTATAACATACAATAAGATCCCATACATAACCACTAGTTAAGCCCAACTCAAGCCAACTCAACCCGTAGTTGGTGATGTCCCTGTATAGCAGATGACGGCATGCCGCCGAGCCACATCGCGACACCCGAATTTTCGTTTTCACTCTTCAACCTCCCAACCCTCAAACCACTACCCTCCCTCTTCTTCGCCTCCGACCTTTCATTGCTGGCATTGACTTGTCTAGCACTGACCGACTGAAGACCCAAGTCTTTTGTTCCGCCAAACCCCACCAATTGAGTCTCATCTTGATTCCAACCTCTTTCGCCCACCTACGTTACTTTCTCGAAGTTTCGCTTCGCTTTGTCCGACTCCCATTCTTACATTGGGCCTCTTTGTCGCGACAAGTGGTTATTTTGGTCCCAGAATATCGGACGGATTTTCCTTTCTCGACTTGTGGGATACGCAATCGAGAGGCATAAACTTTTTGAAGTACTTCTGTTGGTGGTTTTATTTGAACCGTTGAAGTCAAGATGGCAGCTCCTACGCAGCTTGCTTGTGGGTTTCCCCGATCGTTAAATATCGGCTCGAGTAGATCGATGCGAATGTTGATGGATGGACGCTGATTGTCTACAGACCGCACGCTCAAGGGCATTGGTATCATGGATGCCGCCCCTGTTTATGAGCCTCTACCCGGGTTTGTGAGGTAGGAATTGATTCTGACTGAACAGGGAACACCAAGCTGACTTGTGCGCTTCTGTCAGACCTGAAGGCAACCTCCGCTGTAGCGCCTACTCGCCGTGTGGCCGGTACTACGCATGGGCATCGCCCGAGAAGTAAGCTGATCTTCTATTTCCCCGGTCACTCTTATACTAATGTTGTTGCCTGCAGGGTCTCCATTATCGACGCCTCCGTTGGTCACATCGTCGGAACCATCGCCGCCGAGAACGTGTTCGAGCTGGGCTTCTCGCCGCTCGGTACCTACGTGATCACCTGGCAGCGTACCTCCAAGGACGAGAACGGAGACGCCGTCAAGAACCTGAAGGTGTGGCGTGCCATTGAGAACGGAGATGAGCATGCGGTCGTGGGCAGTTTCGTGCAAAAGTCGCAGACTGGATGGAACTTGCAGTACACCGCCGATGAGAAGCTTTGCGCCCGCACTGTGACCAACGAGGTCCAGTTCTACCAAAGCGAGAATTTGTCAACTGTCTGGAACAAGCTGCGCGTGGAGGGTGTGACGGACTTCGCGCTCTCGCCGGGTCAGACCCAGTCGATTGCGGTGTTCATTCCCGAGCGCAAGGGTCAACCTGCCGCGGTCAAGGTGTTCATTGTGCCGCAGTTCGGTGCCCCTGTGTCCCAGAAGAACTTCTTCAAGGGTGACAAGGTCCAATTGAAGTGGAACTCTTCTGGAACCACCCTGATCGTGCTCGCACAAACTGAGGTCGACCGCACTGGCAAGAGTTATTATGGCGAGACAACACTGTACCTGCTCAGCGCTAGCGGTGCATTCGACTCGCGTATTGATCTTGATAAGGAGGGTCCTATTCACGATGTCAGCTGGAACCCCAACTCGAAGGAATTCGGTGTTGTGTACGGTTACATGCCCGCTAAGACCACTATCTTCAATATGCGCGGTGTGGCCACCCACAACTTCCCCCTCGCCCCCCGCAACACCATTCAGTTCTCGCCGCATGGCCGTTTCGTTCTGGTTGCCGGTTTCGGTAACTTGGCAGGACAAATGGATCTCTACGATATGGACAAGAACTACCACAAGATTACCACGGTCGAGGCCTCCAACGCAAGTGTTTGCGCCTGGTCCCCCGACGGACAATACATTCTGACCGCGACAACAAGCCCTCGCCTGCGCGTCGACAACGGCGTGCGTATTTGGCACGTCACCGGTGGCCTTATGTACAACGAAGATATGACCGAGCTGTACGATGTCACCTGGCGGCCACAGAGCATCTCCCAGCACCCGCTGGGCGACCCGCTCACCAAGCTCCCTGTTCCCCACTCCTCTGCCACTGCCTACATGGGCACCCGCAAGGCCCCCGTCAAGCCTGCTGGCGCCTACCGACCCCCCGGTGCCCGCGGCCAGCTGACCCCTCTCGCCTTCAAGCGTGAAGACGAGGGTGGTGCTGCCTTTGTCCGCGATGGCGTTCCCGGTGCCAGCATGAACGGCTTCGGCAAGCCTCGCCGCCGTGAGATCCCCGGCGCCGAGCCCGCCGAGGAATACCTTCCTCCTGGAGCCGCACCGGGTGGCGGCGTTGCTCTGCCCACCGAGAACCTGTCCAAGTCTGCCGCCAAGAACAAGAAGAAGCGCGAAGCTGCCAAGAAGGCCAAGGAGGAGGGAACCGATAACGCTCCCCCTGCCAACGCCCCAACTGGCCCTAGCCCAGACCGCAACCGCAACCGTGGCGGCAAGAACGGTGTCGTTAACGGTAACGGTGCTGCCAAGTCTACTCCTCCCCCTGCTGCCGCTCCTCCTGCCCCTGCTGAGGATCCTTCCGCCCAGGATAAGAAGATCCGTGGTCTGTTGAAGAAGATCCGGGCTATCGATGAGCTTAAGATGCGCCTTGCTGGCGGTGAAAAGCTCGAAGATACACAGATGAAGAAGATCCAGACCGAGGATGCGGTCCGGAAGGATCTCGAGGCTGTTGGATACAACGGTTGAAGTCGAAGCCGAAGGTGTAGTTGCATGGATGTTGAAGATGTAGAGGAATGATGCGATGGATGATGATGATGCAAATGGCACCTGCATAGCCGGCCATGGATATACTTAGATCGATCTGCATGTATGCATCCAATATAGGAGCTGTTCAAATTGACATCAATACCATTATCGATATCTCATCCATATACGGTCTATCAATAAGATTTTGTAAACATGTTGGCAGATCCAACGTCTATGTACATACTTCCTCTGTCTACCTTACAATATCCCTATCCCATCCTGTCCATCTCACCCAGTCCAAGAAACTCATCCTCAAACCCAACCCCTTCTCCAACCCCTTCTCCAACCCCTTCTCCAACCCCTGCCTTTCCCAATTGGCCCTCCACCACCAAACCCCCATCTCTCATGCCGGGAAACATCCTCTGAGCAGACATCCTCATGCCAAGGCTTGATACCAAAAATACAATGCACAGCTTTCACCTCCCCATCCCGCCATATACAATCATGCACACCCTCCATGCGCAACGTCTTCAACGAATCATAAATATACGGCAGCGCAACCCACCGCCCAGCCAAGACTTCAGATAGGAGCTCCTGGTCTGGGAAGATTGAGGTGTAGAAGGCTATAAGCGGTAATAGTTCCTTGGGCCGGTTTGGTGGTAGTATTGGTGGTCGTATTGGTGGTCGTATTGGTGGTCGTATTGCAGGTAATGCTCTAGATTGCGTTACCAATGCGGTCTTCTGGCATGACGGAGTATAGATGCTTGGATTTTAGTGAAGTCAATTCATTGCTAGCTATTGGAATGTCCCATTATGCCCAACTCCCTCACTTCCAACATTGGCCATTCTCTACTCCGCCAACTGCGGCCACCGATGTAACAAGCGTCAAGAGACAGATCGGCATCCGCAGCAGAACAGAGACAAGAATGGAGCTCCAACGTTAGATGTGAGGATTGCGACGTAAGTCACAATATCAAGGGCTCGTGCGTAGCACATTTGTGTTTGCAATGGTCATCGATATATCGCATCCGATACAGAGCTTATTCACATCCGAAGATGGAATTTCAAGGCATTGATCTCGCCTTGCGCTCCACCTTACAGCGCGAATGGTCTACTAGAGAGAAATAATGTGAGCAGGAGAGAAAGACAGACCAGAAAGCACTGGAATAGAATGGATATGGGTATTAGTATCATCTACGGCAAATCCGGTGGCCATTTCAATCGAAAACACGAGTCCGCTTGATCGGGCTTCCCATGCGCAGAGACGCCGCTGCGTTGGCCATGCCATTCAATAGTCGGCCCATTCCTTCCACATCCAATTCACCACGTCGGAGCATGAGTTGATCGGTTTCTGGGCTTGCTACCTGCTTCACTGAAAGTTGGCTCGGTTCGTCAGTTTCGACCAATGCCGGGGCGAGGATCATGAGTTGGTGCTCTGCTGCCACGAGGACATCGAAGACTTGTCGCTGTGCTTGGCGAGAACGGCGGACAGGTGCTGGTAGATGGCCAATCGCTTGGAAGTTCTGGCCCATCAGGTTCACATCTTGGAACGGAGATACTCGGCAGCGGTTTGAGGCATCGAAGGTACCCTTGGCTTGGACGGCGTTGCGCCATAGAGACAGCAGACTTGGGATGACTGCGCTCTGGCGGCCATGACGGAGCAGAATTGATTCGTCGGGGAGTGCATCCTGCGTTGAGTTGGTTTGCAAAACAGATATTTGGCCGCGGTGGGATGGGCTGGCTACAGTCGACGATCCCTTCAACAGGCCATCTTCACGAACACGTCTTGTGGATGGTGTCATAGGCGCAAATCGGGATCGCTGCTCTGCCTCAGACTGGTTATTGGAAAGCGGCGTCACAATACGGCCACTGACTGCGTAGGCAGTCAATGAGCCGCCGGTGACACCTTGAATGCTTGTCTGGCGGTGCAGCGGGCCCTTGGCAGCACCAGGACCAGCGCCTTCAATATCCCAGACGCCCCATTCGCCATCCTCTAGAAGCACCATGACGGCCCGGCCACCCAGCACCCAATCAGCATCAATGATCGTCTTTCGTCGGGGAAGTCCAATGGGACCCTGCTCAAAGCCGGGGTACAGGCTGATCAGCCACCGACCTTCCATGTCGGTAGTTTCATAGTCTTCCTGCGGAATGGATGCCCGTCGAGCAGTCTTAGAGGCCTTCTTCACGGAGAAACAAGAGTAAACCTTGACACATCCGCTGTGGAATGCAACAAGCAGGGTCGAATGGCGGGGGGATGGCCATGGTGAAGGGTTAAAGGTGATCGTTTGTGCAGGTGCTGGCAGGAGTCGTCGCTGAGAGACGATGTCTTCCTCCAGGAAGCGGTAGGAGGCTGATCCAGATGAATCCTCTCGGATTGGGATCCGGTGCAACAACAGTGCGCCGGACCCTTCTGCAGAATGTGTGGCCACAAGGAGATCCCATTTTCCATGATTGCCGAACCGGCCCCGCGATTTGCGTGGGCTTTCCTCCTCGTTCTCCTGACAGGTGAAGGCCAGAGACACTCCTCGGGGAGTATCTTGATGAGTAGTGGCACCAGTGACCGTGAGAGTCCGAATGCGCCAGCTCGCAGGGTCGGTCTGTGTAGGGTGAGGAGGCGCAAGCGGCAAAGTCACAACTCGTGTTGAAAAGTCAGAGCAAACTGCAGATACAACAATTGTGTTTCTCAAAATAGGCGGGAAGGCATCAAGGGGAGAGCGCAATTCTTCGGGGAGAACCTGAGGAACCGCCACATCCAGAACTCGGCTTCCGAGGGGAATATCAAGCTGTCGTAGAATCTCTTCGTACGGAGCAGCAGGATCGACCTCAGTCTCCTCCAGACTGAAATCGTAGCTGGACTCTACTTGTGTTGGTTGTTCAGGCTCTTCCTCGTCAGAATCAATGATCATTACTGAGTCGTCCACATTGTTTTCTGCGCGCCTCGGCTTCTCGGTAGGCGCTGGTGCTTTCGGCTCCGCAAAACGTCTTCCTCCTCTCCAGACAACCTTCAATCCGGTGTCGTAACCGTAAACAATGATAGAGGAGCCATTAGGAGCTCGGAGGGGGTAGCCCTTGGCTGAGTGAACGCGATGAGGGAGGCGATAGCTAAAAGTTTGCAGACATAGAATCAGCATCAATTCAAGTATTGCGAGCAGACCGCAATCAACCCTACCTTATCTGCAGACCATCTTCTCTGGACCGAACCAGAGGGGTGGTTGGGAATGAGGGCATCTTGGGAATTGCGACGCTGTCGAGCTGTTCAGAGCTTCCAGGTTCAAGCACAGGCGCCAAAAGGCACCGTAAGGATAACAGACAACCCAAAGATCGATGAGTGAAATCTCAATTCTTAAACAAGTCTTGAGCGGAGATCGATAGACGAGTAGGGAAAAAAGTGTAGCGAGGGGAGGTGTTGACGGAAAGTTGTTTTGGGCGGCGAGAAAGTCGATCCAATCCGCGTTCCAGCGCGTCTCCAACTTCGACATTCAACAACCATGTCCTGTGGCCGGCGCACCGTTACTTAAGCTACATGGACGAAATGACCAATTCGACGGTTTGGACCAGAGAACTGTTTGTGACGGCGCATTGCAACTGCTACACCGGCTGCTAATCAGCCCACCATGGCATCCGTTCGATCTCTCGGCCTCCACGAGCCTTCCGCTGTATCCTACCTTGTCGCAGAGGGTATTCTCCCACCTGATCCCTCGGAAGACCACTACAAATGGACGGTATGCGTCGACGAAAGCGGGTTGACCGGTCCGGTGGACGATGACCTGGTATGGACGAAGCATTGCGTTGTATGGTCCCGCGCAGGGATGGTGAAGCGAGTCTTTCGAATGGATCCTGAAAAAGAAGAGATCCGACATGCTCTCTTCACACAGTTTGCGGCCGCCAACATCAAACGCTCTGGGAACACACCTACGAGACCACCCACCACCGAGAGATCTACAAAACAAAGCCGGCGAAATGGGAAACAGTCGACGCTTGAAATCCAAGGCTCGACATTGGATCTACACGGAGATGCACGAGTGGCAGCGATCGCTCCTCAGAAATCTAGTGAGAGCCTCTCCAGAGCTCTGGTGGTGGTCCTGAAATCGCAAGCGCATATCTTCTTTGTCGCGGGCAACAGCCATACAATTCCTCTGCCCTTCGAGGTGGAATCTGTCTTCGCAACTCCTCGTGGTCTTCTTCTCCAGAGGAAGATTCCATCACCCATCGAAGGACGCGAGCAGCCAGCCGCGCCTCCCAATTCCTTCATGACCAGCTCGCTATTCGACCCTGGTGCTTCACAATCATTTGGCATGCGACCACCTTCCAGAAAAGGCAGGCGTCCTTCGATAAAGCTCTCTGCTCCAAGCTCTTGGATGCCTAATTCCAGCCCGAGCAACGACCTACCTCGAGTCTTCTCTCTCATCGATCCTCATTCAGAGATGGGCCTTGTTGTGACATCGCAGAGCTCTCGTTGGCTCCAGGGTAGTGTTAACAGCACCAGAAGACGGCCATCCGGGCTTGAGGTGCTGGATCCCTTAGATGAGATTGTATACATCTCTCCAAAGGACGAGCTTCTGGGCACAAGCAGAGGCCCAACCAACGGCCCATTGATCCTAGTGGTGACCCTCAATACTACTACAGGTATCTATACGATTTGGACTGCACGCTACAAAGATGATGAATCAGGTGGTTCGATAAAAGACAAAACCAGACGGGAGACAGGAGGCACTCGGTCAGTGAGGCGGAGCTCACATTTCGGCATGGCAACTGGCACAACAACACCCGCTGCTCGCACTGCAGGTAGAGAGAGCTTTGGAGCTTGGACTGAAAAGAGTCAGCAAACTGAATCCCAGCAACCTGAAGACGATCTCGCTTCGAGAGTTGCGCAGGACTTTGGAGATGTCGGTGTGCCTCTGAAGACATCCAGACGAGTCAGCTCCTTGCTCGCCCGAACGGATCTTGCAACCAGTCAGGACCGCATGACATTTTCAGAGCTGGCCACTGGAAGTCAGTCTAGCGCCATACCTCATGGTCATGGTAGTTTCCGCCAGTCTATCGGAGGAGCAAGCACACGTGGAAGCTTTGGTTTCAACCCGCGAGGCTCTCTTCCCCCTGGAACAGGATCTGTCTACAGCACTGCAGGCAGCTTTGTGGATGCACCGGTGGATAGGCTCCTCGAAGAACTCAATAACGATGCGCTATCAGAAGGCTTTGAGAACATTGCCCTTCGTGAATCGGCATCTGGACTTCCAGAGGAGCTCCTATTGAACAAGGTCGAGAGCTTCCCGTCAAAATTCTCTGGAAGCTTCCAAAAGTCCACACCAGAGCCGGCATCCCGTCGGTTGAAGGTCTCTACTTTAGCTTCCACTGACTATGGAAGCGCACAAAAGGGAAGCACTGCTTCTGTTGCCATATTCATTACGGACCAAGAGGCACGGAACATGACCATTGTGAACCTCAAAGCGGATCGAATCTCCGTCTCCAAGAGCCGGAAGAAAAAGAACAAGTCCGACCAGAGCCCATTGCTTGTCCATGCGGTCAAGGTTAAGCATGTGCCAAATATCTCAGATGCTTGCAAGATCTCCGATGGAGATATCTCACGAATACTTTCACTCAGCGAGACAGAAAGCGGTCACCGTGAGTTATCCTTACAGACCCTATGGGGTAGCCCGACAAAAATCGAGGTTCCCATACCGCTACAGCTGTATGAGCCTCATGGGATCTCTGCCAACAAACTCGAGGCACGCCCAAGAGAAAGCGGTGTTAACCGAGTTATGGCTGACCCCGATCTCGTCTTCACCAAGTTTGATCATGTGTGCTCTCGAGGCAAGATTGACTTGGTGGACACTGACAAACAACGACACCGACTCCAAATACGAATGGAGCCCCGCAATGATCTGGTGAAGAAGATAATTAGGGTCTGCAAGTTCGCCCTGCGTGACTCCGACAAAGCAGGTGATGGCATCATGGTCGCCTGGTGGGAAGTTATCAAGTGGCTTCGGGGTAAAGAGGACATTGAAAATGACCTCGAGTGGACAGCTATGACTGTTGTGCTATTCAGCTTAGCAGTTCCATTCGTCACGCTCCCCCAAACCCCGACACCCAAGCGAACACGTCGCAAGAAGGGCTTGCTAAGGTCGAGTAGTGGCAGCCATCTTGATCTCGAAAGCTGGGAGACCATGCTGGACCTGGAGTCTGGCTCATCAGGTGTTGTAGCGCCCTGGATGATGGACAGCTCCTGGGGATGGATTGTTGAACAAGATGCAATCGAGGATCTCGCAACAACATCACGTACACCCAAAGTTGACCAGCCCAACGCGAGCCGATCTACCTACCGCAACAATTCGTACTTGCTTCGATGCATCTCTCTCAGCCGTGAATTCCTTCAAACTCCCCAAGGCGTCAGGGCTGCCGGCAACGAAGGTTATCTCCCTATTTCGGAACTCTTCTCTGAAAACACAAGATGCACCGCTTTATGCAGTGTCGTTGTGGCCTTGCATTTGCTCCGTGAAGAACAGAAACTTTCAATCTGTGATTCGGAAGAGTCCCGGAGACCATTGGGTCTGCTTGCTCCTGTTCTCGCACAACTGGGCGGCTGGCTGGGCTGGGACTCTTGGAAATGGACCGAGGATGCCTACTTCGGAAACGAAATGGCCAGTATGGAGCGCTGGCAATTTGAAGATACTAAAATTTCCGGACTTAATGTGCCTCGAGAACCTTTCACTCCTCCATCTATCTTTGCTTTCCTCATGGACGCCGCTCACAAAAACCCTACGCCATTTGTCACACTCCTTGATATTGTGACTGCGTCCGAGCGAAGTCCTAGAAAGGGGCGCATGTGGCGTGAATGTTTTAGCCTCACACCAAGAACATTGGCGCTGAATGGCTTCTTCACCGAAGTTCATGATGTATCAACGCCCTTGGAAAAGATTAAACTATTGCAACGTTGGGGATTCACCAAGAGCGTCATTGACAGCTTCCCAGAAGGTGTCAGTGCACCGTTGTACGAAGCAGTAATGCAATGCCAGATCGAAGCCTCCACCTCCTGGAACGCATCGCTTCTGGAATTGATTGACCGGGAGGACCTCTACATGTCGATGAACCCCACTCAAACCACTTCATTACCAGCACCACAGCAACATGTACCGTCTCATGACGCTGTACGAGACTTCCATTATATCAGCAGTGCGGCGTTGGACATCGATGCCATCAACGCCTTTGAGGCCTCCGCGGAGGCGGATCGATTCTCTGTGACAAGATTGATATTCAAAGAGGATAAGCGGTTCCTAGAAGCAGCCAGACTCCTTAACCAGTCTAAAGCTCCCGTGGCAGAGTGCATACCCGAGCCAGATTGGAGCGATGCTGATCTTCTCGAAGCGCAAAAGGAGATTGTGCAGCTGGTGACTGTCCGCACTCTTTCTACTCCTGCGGGTCGTGGAATGCTTTCCTTCAGTGGACGGCTTCCATTATTGACCGAGAAACTGCCGATTCCGTCCTTTTCGCTACAGTGTGTCATGAAGCCATCTAATGTGACAGTCAGTGCCGAAAGATCTGCATTTTCAGAAGAGAAAGTTTGTTGGGCATTCTTCCACAATGGTGTCTCCACCGGCCTGGCAATCTCCAAGGCGTCCAAGGGAATCGACACTTCATGGATCTTGTTCAACAAGCCACAGGAACTTACCAATCGCCATGCCGGCTTCTTGTTGGCGCTGGGTCTGAATGGACATCTCAAGTCACTGGCCAAGTGGGTTGCTTTCAAGTACCTCACCCCCAAGCATACCATGACTTCTATTGGTCTCTTGCTCGGGCTTTCTGCATCGTATATCGGTACAATGGATACCCTCATCACACGCCTGCTCTCGGTACATGTGACACGAATGCTCCCAATGGGTGCAGCTGAGCTGAATCTTTCGCCTTTGACTCAAACTGCCGGAATCATGGGTATCGGTATGCTCTACTGTGGCTCTCAGCATCGTCGCATGAGCGAGGTTATGCTTTCTGAAATTGAAAACAGTGAGTATGACGAGCAAGCTGCTACACAAGAAGACCTCCGTGATGAAGGATATCGCCTGGCTGCAGGATTTGCACTTGGTTTCATCAACCTTGGCAAGGGTGATGATCTACGTGGTATGCGTGACATGCACATTGTTGAACGGCTGTTGGCAATTGCTGTGGGCACCAAGAACGTCGATATTGCCCATGTGCTTGACCGTGCCACAGCTGGCGCAACAATTGCCGTGATGATCATCTTTATGAAGACGAACGATTCGGTACTGGCCAAGAAAATTGATATCCCCGATACAACTGTTCGCTTCGACTACGTAAGACCAGACCTGTTCCTGTTGCGAACTCTGGCTCGGCACATTATCATGTGGGACAGCATCCAGCCCACTGCTGAGTGGATTAGTTCAAGTCTTCCTGAGGTATACCGAGGCAGATCGCGACTTGTCGATGTGCGCCGCCTGCGCAGTGAAGACATGCCTTTCTTCAATATCATTGCCGGTCTTTGCTTTGCCCTCGGTCTCCGCCATGCTGGGTCGGGACAAGCACAAGCGCGAGATCTATTGCTGTTCTATCTAGACCAGCTCATCCGCATTTCACGGCTGCCTGTGCGTAACTACGATGCCAAGCTGGCGCGCAATTCTGTCCGCAACTGCCAGGATGTGGTAGCCCTAGCCGCAGCCGCAGTTATGGCTGGTACGGGTGATCTAGCTCTATTCAGACGCCTGCGCTCACTGCACGGCCGCATCGACGCCGACACACCCTATGGCAGCCACATGGCAGCACACATGGCGATAGGAGTTCTCTTCCTAGGTGGAGGTAGCTACACACTCGGTACATCCAACCGCGCCGTAGTCTCCCTCATCTGCGCATTCTACCCGATCTTCCCAACCTCCGTCCTAGACAACAAATGCCATCTCCAAGCCTTCCGCCATCTATGGGTCCTCGCCGCCGAACCCCGCTGCCTCGTTCCCCGTGATCTCGACACCCGCCGACCTATCTCCATACCAATCACCATAACCTTCAATGACGAAACAACCCGCACAATCGGCGCTCCCTGCCTCCTCCCAGACCCAAGCGGCATCGCACGCATCGAAATCCGCGGCCCAGACCACTGGCCTTTAGTCCTAGACTTCAGCCAAAACGACGCTCTCCGCGAGAAATTCCACCGCGGTGACCCATCAATCTACCTCCGCCGCAAAGCAACCTACAGCCCCTCGGGCTCCTCAACCTCCGTCTTCGCCTCTACTCTAACTGGCCTCAGCGAAACCCAAGACATTCTCCCAACCTCAACAGTAACAACCTCAAACCAAGCAAAGGGCCTGCCCCCCTCCGCCTGGCCAACCCGTACAACCCTCCTCTCAGCAACTTCCCCCACAGCCTCACCCTCCCAATCCCCCTGGGACTGGATCTTCAACCTCCCCGCCCTCCAAGGCCTCGACATCCGCGAACGCTCCCTCGTCCTCCCATCCTCCTTCCCAATGCGGGGAGAACGAATCACCTCAGACGTCGTCTCCGCGCCACCTTGGCTACGCACTTCAGCCGTTGACGCCCGACTCGCACTGTCTCATACGGTGCGCAATATCGTGCAGTCTGCGCGTGGCCGCGGCGCTGATCCGGATGAAGTCCGTGATCACATCTGGCAGTTGCGGTTGTTGTTTGATTGGCTGGATCGCACACAGCCTGTGGAACGGGATTCGTTAGATCCTGGAATGAAGGCTGTGCAGCCGCCTTCGGGACTTTGGTTGAGGAGGGACTTTGTTGATGATGCTAGGTGGCAGGTTTGGGGTGTGCAGATTGGGGATCGGGTTGATGAGTAGAATGGGCTCTGGACTGGGTTTGTGTGGTGATGATTGTGTGTGTGAGAGACAGAGAGAGGGTCATCTTGCCCTAGAATTACTCCCATATGCTATGTGTATTTTATATGCTTGACTGTAGGTCAAGAGAATAGGAATATGATTTCTGATGATATCAATATTAATCAGCGTCCATTTGCCCATCTCATATTCTTGAACTAATTCCACTAACTCAGATGTCATTTCCATATCTATAGTTTCATTGCATCATCGATAATATGCGAAAGCCATTCACTCGTAAGCAACATAAAAGAAGAACGAAATGTAAATATATGGTCTATAACGAACGGTGCTGTCCTTCCTTCAATAGTCCACGATCACCACCACCACCCTTCTGCCACAACCAGATACCTTCCACAGCCCAAGCAGCAGCACTAGCATGACGTCCAACACCAGACGCGACAGGCGTACCGCCATTCTTGCCCTCGGAATCTTTTTTATCGGAATCCCTGTTTCTGCCAGTACTCTGGCCAGCAGCACCATCCGCTTCAGCAAGCATACCGGCGACAACACCTTCCTTCTCGATCACAAACCACAAACCCTCGGACAATGCCCCCCCGCGATCACCGAACTCCGCGCGACCCAGGCGGAATAGGATCCGGCCGATAACCTGCCATGCGATACAGCGCTGTGCGGGGAATGTCGAGCGTGCCAGGATGGCCAGCTCGGGGATTGTGTACCCCGCCGCATGTGGATCGTCGCCGTGGTGGTGCAGGCCCATGGTTGTTGGGAGAGAGAGGGAGGTTTCAGGAGCGAGGATTGTGCCTGTGAGTGAGAAGCGGATTGCCGAAGGGGCCATGGAAATGGCGCTGCTGGCCGGGTGGTAGGCGGACGTTGAGTCGGGGTCTTCTTCGTCGGCGCTAAGGGGTTGGAGCCAGGAGAGGGTTGATGGGTCCTGGGAGATTTCGGGGAAGTAGTGGGACTGGAGGTCTGCGAGGAAGTTGGGGGAAGAGGGGTCGAGGATTGGCATGGGTGTTGAGGGCAGTGGGAAGTGGAAGGTTTCGAGGGTAGCTGGGTCGAGTGAGGGTTGTTCGGAGGCTGGGTGGAGGTCCTGGGGGAGAGAGTTGGGTGGGCGGTCTTCATTGACCGGGTGTGGTTTGGATGGTTTTTGGAGAGAGTGAGATTGAGCTGTTGATCGTGCTCGTGGTCTGGATGTTGGCTCGGGCACATCGAATGAAACTGATTTTTTCGGTTTAGACGCAGCTTCATCTGTGGGTGCCGATGCCGGCGGCTCTTTGTCGCTCTGCTCATCCTCATCAATTCTAGCTCTGCGGAGGAACCGTTCCAGGAGTCCGGGGTCCATCTGTTCTATCAACTCTTCTCGTTCCTGGTTGATCTGGGCGTCCGACATGGCTGCCAGCTGTCGCCGGTTTTCCTCGTCGATAAGCTTCTTTTCATCTTGAACAGGTTCCTCAGTAGACGTCTCAGTCTCGGTGGATTGTTTAGCTCGTCGCTGTTTGAAGGAAGATGGCTTGCGCTGGCGAGGAGCCGGGAAGCCGGTGGATGAGCTCGATAGCGTTGGGGCAGGGGGTTTGGCGGCGGAGGGGGCCCGTTCTTGGATTTCGCCGATGAGAGAGAAGGGAGAGGGGATCTCAGGAGCACCTTCGTCTCCATCCAGATCGAGGACGAAACGTTCGCCGCGGAAAGCCATGTTGTCAAGACAAAGAAGAGAAGAAAAAAAGTTATGTCAGCGCGGGGATGCGGCTCCCAAAGCCTAAAATGGGTCTGCAGAACAGACTAACCACATTGGGTTAGTGGTAGATGACGGATGTGCTAGGCCCAATCGGGACTCCTCACACTGGCTCGGTTGCATCTATACACCTCGCTTGACTTCATGGACTGTTTTTCAACACAGGATGTTCTGCATTTGATGTATTATGTATCCCTCGAGATTTTGATATAGTCCAGACTATAGACACTCAGCTAGCATACCATGACTTAGTCATCGCATCTACACGTACCTCCAATACAGTAGACTAAGTTACTTATGACACTCCAGGTACAGCATAAACTTCGGGATGCGAGACAATACTGTGTTCATGTTGATGGCCATAAGAAGATGCTATGGAACCTCCACAGTGACACAAGACACACGGCAATAACTCGAGTCTGGTCACTCCGAATCTTGGAAATGCCTCAAATCAACTGCCCTATATAGTTAGTTCCTGTATAAGTACCTGAAGTAAAACGGGCACAACTGCAGGAAACTGGATATGATACCAATGACCTCAGCAAGAACAACTCATCAGTATTGGGAGTTTGAAGCATTGTCATTGTCATTTGATTTTTTGAGATTTCGCTCTCTACTCTGTATATCTTGCATTCTGACTCTCCTAGACATATCGACTTTGGCCGTTCAGTTAGTAGTTTCTACTCTGTAATGAATCTCCCCTTTCTTCCCTTTTTTTTCCTTTTTGTTTTCTCCCTTTCCCTCCCCGGTCTTAATCCCTTCCATTTTCCATTTTCCCTTTTCCCATTTCCTTCATTTTCAAGTGTTCCCTCTCCCCTTTCCATCTCTCTCATGTTTTTGATGTTCCTTTTCAACTCGGATCTTTCTTATCTGTGCCTTATTCCCCCAACTTTCATTCCTGACGACACGTCTTAGCGACCGATTCCATCCACGTTGCCCACTTTGTCCAGTTTGTCCACTTTCGTCAGAATTCATCCTTTTGATAAGATTACAATTGTGCACAACTATGTCTACGGATCCGGCCGTGGTGCCTACAGAAGGCCTACCTGTTGAGTCTGATCCCAAGCCCGACACCAACGCCCGACGTGCTTCCGGTACCGCCAGACGGTCGCGTCGTAAGAAGGACGACGAGCCCGACGCCAAGCCCAAAAAAGACAAAGAACCAAAGGAGAAGCCAGCTCGAGCTCCGCGTCGACCTCGAGAAAAGTCCACAACTACCGCCGGCTCTCGGAAGAAAGCCAAGCTGGAGCCATCGGCTGATGCGACGGGGGGTGACGCTTCGGCAGACGCCCGAAGCCCTGTCCAAGTGTCTGTCCAAGTACCTACAGCACCCCAGCCAGCTCAACCACCCCAATCAATTCAGTCAGCCCAACCAGCCCAATCGCCTTATTCCCAAAGCCCACATCCCACAGCTCCGGGAGCTGCATACCAGCTTTCACAACCGCTACAGCCCCCGCGTCCGCAATCACAACCGCCAACGCCACAACCACAACCTCCCCAAAGGACCAGTGGACAAAATTTCGATCCGATTCGGTCAGCCTTTGACAACCCTTCCCCGGCACCAGCATACAGTCCTCCGATTCACGCAGTCTCCCCACATAACGCTTATCGCGCCAGTGCATCGCCAGCGATCTCGAGTATCATCGACCCCCCTCAAACCTCCCAACCAATTTACACTCCGCTTCAGCGTACCTCCTCTGGTCATGTCTCTGCTCTTTCTTCACCGGCGCCGCCTCCGATGGCTCCCACGCCCACACACCCATCCGTAGCCCCTTCGCCCCTCCCCATCTCGTCGCCTTCTCATGGAGCCGTGCATACACCGCATGCGTTTTCGCAACCGAATCACTACACAACTCCATACCCACCAGCTGAGCAGCGGCCTGTGCAATCACAACCGCCAAAACTTGAGCTCTCTCCACCCGCTATGCGTCAACCTCAACCACAATCCCACGCACACCCCGAACCTTTAAAGCAGCCGACCCCACCCAGACCCCAACCGTCCGAGGTAATGGAAGTCGAACCCACGGAACAACCAAAGGAACAATCTGCTCCTAGTGCTAAGAAGGAAAAGGGGACGGCGACTCCTGCATCAAAGGCTTCATCGCCTAAGCCCGTTCGACCTGCCAAAGAGGCCCCGCAACTACCGCAAGGCTCTGGCTTGATCAGTAACGCCCTATTCGGAGTAGATGAATCTGCGAAATCGCCAGACTCGCGCAGCACCCCGAACATCATTGTCCACGTCCCTCTAGGAAAGGGAAATCAGATTGTCAATTTCGCGCGACTGGCCGAAGAACAATATGGTTTTGCGGCTTTACATCCGCGACTGGCCGCTCACAAAGCGCGCTTGGCCCGTGTGGCAGCCGCTGGTGCTGCATTAGAGCGCAACGATAAGAACGCCAAGGGCATTTCAGCAGGCGAGAGTGCTGACGAGGACCTGAGCCTTGATGCTGAGCGTGATAGTGATGTGGATGGCGATGTTGCCATGGGTGGTACTGGTGTCGGAACCAACGGTGCACCCTCCGAAGCGAGCGATGGAAAGAAGAAGCGCCGAAAGAAGGTTGAAGAGTATGACCGTGACGACCCATTCGTTGATGACAGTGAGATGGTCTGGCAAGAGCAGGCTGCTGCTAGTAAGGATGGATTCTTTGTCTACAGCGGGCCATTGGTGCCAGAGGGAGAGAAGATCCAAGTGGAACGGTATGTTCTGACAGTTTTCATGATAGCATGGTACGGATCCTAACAATTCACAGGGCCGATGGTACAATCAAGCGCGGCCGTGGCCGTGGCCGAGGGACAGGCCGAGGTCGGTCTACGGCTTCTCATCCTCACGTCCCCATTGCCGCTGCTGTGCCTATTTCCCAGGATACCGGCCTGCCAGTGCGCGGACCCGGTTCCCGAGGTGGTACAACGCGCCGTCCGCGCGGCAGCAAGAAAGCAGACGGTGAGAAACACGCCGACCGTAACGGCACCACTGCCTCCGCGGCAAATGAAGGCCGCGGTGGTCGCGGTGGTGGTGCAGGCAGCTCTAGCCGAGGTGGAAGCACCAGCACTCGGGGTGGAAAAGCATCTGCACTATCGGTCCCGATGCCTGGTCTTGCGCCTTCTCCTTCAACGCCTAACGCTGCACCTCCTGCTCCTACTCCTGCTTCTGCTCCTGCTCCTGCTCCTGCTCCTGCTCCTGCACCTGCTCCTACTCCTGCTCCTGCTCCTGCTCCTGCTTCTGCTCCTGCTCCTGCGCCGCCGGGTCCTAACCCACTAGCTGGGCCGGAGCTCATGATGAAATAGACTTGATTGATTCCATGCTCACGGTGTCAGGCGTTTCCCTGTGGGATTTGAGTTTGATTTGTATTTGCGCTCTTTTGTTGGTTTTTGTTTGCTTTCGGTCTTGGGCTCGGTGCTGTTCGTGTCCGTATTTCTTTGTTAAAGTCTTTTACCATGAGCTCTGTATCTATACCTTGCTGGACTTCGTATCATCTTTTACAATTGATTGAAGATTTCAATGATATCTCCTTTGCATTGCGTACTTTGGTTTACATCTGACAGTCAAACACATTCTGTTCTTGTACTGACGAGCTGTCAACACATAAGAGACCCAACTGTATGAATAACTTGACTACCACGTAAAATCTCCTGAAACATAGCTAGGCTGGAAAAGAAAAATGAAAATGAAATTGCAATTATGTACGCCGAGTAATGCAGGAAGATATATCCCAGCAAACATGAAAGAGATCGAGTTCAGAATGAACAGAAACAGAGAAGAAGAAAAGGGAAAAAGAGGGGGTGTCGTTGCCAAATCAAACATTCGAATCAGACAGGTAGAGAATCATTGAGAAGAGAAAAGGAAAGAAGTAGAAGAAAAAAATCCAACAAAAGTACCGACATTGGCAGAACGAGGGATATCCACAGGTAGATGGGAATGCGAGTTGATATTGATGAAGGGCCAGACAAAAAGGAGGGAGAGAAATAGAAAGAAAAGGAAAATGCTATGGGGGCGTAGTGTGTCTTGTGTCTTCATTATCTTTTTTGTTTTGATTCATCTCAAGAAAGCGCCGAAAACACAGACAGAAGGGAAAACGAGAGAATCAGCTAGGAAAGTCCATGGCCGATGAAATAACGAGCAAACCACGCAAGATCCGGTTCAAGTTCAAAATATGCAGGTCCATCTCGAGAGATAGATAGGGATAAACGAGAAAATATCATATCCCAGTACATGGCTTAGTGATATGCATCGCGTCCTGGCTGAGTGCGCCGAGTCCCACCGGCCGAGACTGGTGGGGCAGGAGGCGCACCGTTTGGAGGAGCAGGACGCATAGGCAGTGTGGCCGAGTGCAAGTTAGTGCGGGAGTTAGAGGAGGAAGTGTTCGAGCTGGCAGAGCGAGGGCTCATGAACGGGCGAGATGGGGCATCGATAGCAGACACCGGGTCTCCTAGATGCTGACGCATTGCGTGGCGGCCAGAACGGATGTCGTTGTCGTCACTTGTTTCCAGCGAGAGGTGCTCCAGGGATGGGGGTTGAGGAGACCGCGAGGAGACGTAGTGGCTAGTCTGGGACTGAGGGTAGTAGCGGTGGTTGGCGGAGGGGTCGTTCAGAGGGAGGTCGCTTGATACTGGGTTCGATGGGAAAGGAGACTGCTGGGGTGTGCGAGATGGCTTGCTGATGGGTGGGGGTTTGGCACCCGTTGCTGATGTGGGCGCTGGGGACGAGGTCGAGTTGGAGGTTGGGGTCGACACCTCACGGAGTGATTTTGGTGCAGGAGGTCCCAGGTAGGATTTCCGGTCGTGACGCTTCATCATGCTCATTGCCCATTCTTCGAGGTTGACGGGCGTGCGCTTGGCAGCTTGTAGGAATGCGTCCTTGTCCTATGAGCGGTCAGTTTATGGTTCAAAATGAGCGCCTCAAATACACATACATATAGTTCTCGCGGGGTTGGTCGCTCCTCGGACTTCTTCAAGAGACACTTGCCGACAAAGTCGTGCAGAATGGGCGGGAAGGCATCACTCTTGGGCAGCTTTGGCGCTGTCTCGTGAACGATCTGCTGAAGGAGATCCAGAATACCCATTGGGCCGGCACTGGCACGGTTGCCGGCGGCAGAGTCAGAGTGGTCGAATGGGAATTTGCCAACGGCCAATTCCATGACTGTCAAACCCACACTCCAGACATCTGAACGGACCGTGTAGGCTCCTCCCTGAATTCGCTCAGGGGCCATATATGTAGATGTGCCGACAAAGGTATCGGCAATAGAGTTGACTGTCTCTGTGGCGACACCGAAATCGCAAAGCTTGATATTACCGCGGGAGTTGACCAGAATGTTGGAGGGCTTGATATCGCGGTGCATGATGCGGTGGACTTCATATAAGTAAACCAGACCAGCCAGCACAGACTCGGTAATCTTTCCTAGTACATCAACGCGGACAGGGCCGAAGTCTTTGGAAACGCGGTCGAGGGAACTGTGCCTGTCAGCCATATTCACATCCATCCCACGCGGTCGACCTACCCGCAATCCATATATTCCATACACAACACAATATCTCTCGCCTCATTTTGGAATGCACCATAGAAAGTCACAATATTGGGGCAGTTGCAGTCGTGCCCCACGCGCAGTTCTCGTAGAATTTGTTTCCGCACGTTCTCTTTGGCGTCGACACGGATAATCTAATGCGAGGGATTGCGAAATCAGCATACGGGGTGACCAAGTCGACACAAACAGGGAATCTGTACCTTTCGAGCCATCACCACCTTGGTGGATGCGTGCATCACCTTGGAAACAGTTCCTCCATTTCCAGCGCCGAGCTCCTTCAATGTGACCAGGTCCTCGCTGCGAAGATCGAGGCGAAACTCGAGACCGATTTCTAGCGTATCTGTGCGGTTGGCCTCGGTGTTCCCGATGGCGCCAGGGACCTGCGCATCACCATCGGAGGGATTGGAGGTGACTTTAGGGGCTGCATTGAGAGCAAGACCCTTGACGTTCTTGCGTTTCAACGTCCGGGCCTGGAAGGCGTCCGCCATGGCGCTTTTGTTGGAGGTGCACAATTCAAGGAGGCTAAAGAGAGAAGAATATCAAGGAAAGAGAGCAAGTCACAACCCCAAGCCGATGGGATGTCAGAGGAAGCTAACAGCGGGGAAGCCGATATCACCTATGTTCTTGGCGCTGATTGGGTCTGGCGGGCGCGTAGAAACCAACTACAGTAGCATTCGGCGCCAAATATCAAGTTTGATCAAGGTCAAGTTGAGTTGCAGAATACTCAGGGGAAGAGAAAAACTAGAATGTCTTTTTGAATCGGAACTACTGAGGCCACTATGAAACAACAGGTGTTCGGGGTGGGATCCACTAGTTTTGGGCGCAAGTTTTGGGTTGAAGATTTACGAGAATCACACGGTATGATGAATGAGAGGATGAGAGAGAGAGAGACAGAAATGTGGCTAAGAATAACAAAGAAAAGGAGGTGAGTTGAGCAAGTTGAGCAAGTTAAGCAGGTTGAGGCGTCAAACAAAGATGGCACGTGATACACTAGCCACGGAAACTGCCTATAGAGGACTAGTGTGGTCAGCCACACCGCCAGCCAATCACTGTGACCTGCGTCCTCCCTCGCCGATGGCCGCGATTCTTCCTCTGGCAACTGCTGCTTCACTCGCTTTCCCCTCTTCCATCTCAACCACCTCATCGAGCTCGGCACTACCGGGTGTCGCATTAGCGCTATTGCACTGTGAATCTTTCACCCGCCGCGTGCTCAATCGGTTCTTGGTCCCTAGGAATAGGGATCGTCACCTTCGGGCAAGATGAGCCTTCGCGATTTGATCGAGGGTGAGGCCCTCATGGACGATGACGAGAATGAGGAGGTCCCCGACGACTATGATGGGCAGGTCCGTGAGGGTGCCGGTACCTCCAATCACTACAATGATTCGAGCGAAGAGGACGACGAAGAAGAAGACGACGAGGAGGCTGCTCGCGCGGTGAGTTTTGCCTAGACTTGAAGCTTGATCTGCTTACTGATACTGGCCGAATAGGTTCGTGAAGGTTTCATTGTCGACGAAGATGAGGAAATGGAGGAACGGCGCGCTCGCAGACAACATAAGAAACGTTCCCGTCCCCGTGAGGAAGAGCATCTGGATGATGAGGATCTAGAACTCATCGGTGAACATGTCCCTGGCCTTCAACGGGGTCCGGTCCCAGAGGTATGTGGGCGATATAATTTGTGGTCGCAACTGCTAACCCTGACCCGTTACAGTCCAAATTCAAGCGTCTGAAGCGCGGCAAGGATCGTGATAGTCACCAACCGTCCCAAGGCGTCGACGATATTTTCAACTCCGACGAAGAAGAGGAAGCACAACAGTATGCTCGCCCCGGTCAGCGCCGCGGTCTGCGCGACGAGATGGACGATTTCATCGAGGAGGACACATTTTCCGACGATGAAGCCCAACGGGAACGGGACGACCTGGAAGTTGCGCCTGCGTCTCGAGCCAACAAGACTGGCCTTCTGCCGACTGATATCTCTGGCCTGGACGAGAACGCGCTTGAGGACATGCGCGCTGCGTTTGGTGACGGCACTGAGTATGACTTTGCACTGCAAATGGAAGAGCAGGAGGACGAAGAAAAGGAAACCGAGGAACGTCATCTGGACCTGAAGGATGTCTTCGAACCCTCCGAACTCGCAGAACGCATGTTGACAGAGGACGACAACCAAATCCGTCTCCTCGATGAACCCGAACGCCACCAGGTCGCCCGCAAACCATACAGACATGTGACATTGACCGAGGATCAATTCCGGGAGGAAGCCGTCTGGATTTCTAACATGATGTTGCTCAAGAAGCGCATGGAGCCAGAACTGAAGGAGCCTTTCCAGCGCTCCGTCGCCAAGATGCTGGAGTTCTTGATCACAGATGATTGGGAAGTGCCATTCATTTTCCAGCACCGCAAGGATTATATGATCCACGCCGTCAAGGAGCTAGCTCATGGTGCCGATCCCGCCGATGAGTCCGCTCAATACAGCATCCGTGCTGAAAAGCTTCTCAACATGACCGATCTATGGGATATCTTCGACCACGACCTTAAATTCCGCGCTTTGGTTGACAAGCGTAGCACAATTCAAAAATCCTACCATAGTCTGCAGAGTCTGTTCAGCGTGAATGACTCGAATGTGGAGGATCTACTGGCTGCAGCCGGTACCATGGAGGAGCTTCAAGATGTGCAGGACTATATTCATTTCCAATATTCTTCACAGCTTCGCGACCTGACACAAGTGAATGGCGAGGCCAATGGAGAAACACAGCGCCGGAAAGCCACCGG